CACTGTTAAAAAAATATGCTGACAGTATTTTAACTTGCACATTATGACATTTACATTTACAGTTGACATATTTTTCAACTAGTGTGTGTAATAAAAAAATATTTGATATATATTTTGCCATTGTCTAGTGTAAAATAACAAATACATCATGGCCTTATATATCAAATTTATTTTTCTGTTCAAAAGATAAAATTATTTCTGTTCAAAAGATAAAATGGAAATCTGTGACCTCAAAAAATCTAATACTCTTGAATGATATACTGTACTGTATAAGTCAACACACTGCTGTAAACTGCATATTTTTTTGTTCTTTTTGAGAGATGCGTGACAAACTGATTTTATTTCATGTACAGTAGAAGGATATTTGGTGCTGCTGAGAGCAACATTAGACTTTAAAAGTAAAACATGACCTTATGAAACTGACTATGAGAATCGCATTGTGACTTTCAAAAGAGCACAGAGACAAAATATTTTAGTTTATACTCATCTCAGACATCTGAAGCATCACTTTTTTTTTGTCTTTTAACCTAAATCCTCATTAGTTCATTGCAAGCAGTCAAGTTTTGGTGACCTGGCCAGCTAGATTGTTTTTCTGATTGAATGTCTGTTCAAAAGCATAGCTTTGCTCTTCAGAATCCCCAATGGTATGATTGTATCACAGTGATATCTTTCCCCCTCATTCTCTACATTCATAATAGCAGCCTGTGAAGGTCAGGGCACATCATCTTTCAAATGATGTTCACTAGAGCAATTATGCATCTCTTATTTCAAAAGAGCAGAGCAAAACACAGTGGGTCATTTCAAGGTGGGTTCATTACTGTACAACTTTTTCTTCTGTACAATACAACACAACTAAAGTTAAGATCAAACTAGCCTAGGGGGTTGCAGAAGTTCATGAAGTAATTCAGGAGCAGGTTTTCATTCTAAAGTGTGTATGACGTCAGAGTCTCTAAATCACTTTAGACCAACTTGAAATTCTAGCTTGTTAGAGCTGGGTTATATTCTTTAGTACTGGTTTGTTGCTAGTCCAGCTGGTAGACCAGCATAGACATGCTCATCACCAGCAAATGTAACTGGTAAAAATATCTAAAAGTTGGAAGACAACTTGATTTGACAGAACAGGTCCATGGCAGTTGGTTTATAATTGGGTTTAACCTAATTCTTGCTACTGTACCATACCCCTTATTTTGGATTGTAAGGATTTGATCAATTTTAACAGGCATCTAGCTGAAATCAGACAGGAATTTTAAGAGTTTTAAAGGAGTAGTACTCAGAGTACTAGAGCGAGGAGACTATTCAGTGGTCTTACAATGATCACCATTCGCTTTTTTTTCCCCACAAGGTCTTTGCCAGCTTCTTCAATAATAATAAAAAAAAGATAAAGGGGCTTATTGAAGTCATAAAAAAAAAAATGTGTATATATATATATAAGTAATCTAGAGCAGGCAGGAGAGGAAGGCGGTCACTAATACGAGGGTATTCCTTGTTACTGATGTTGAGGATCAACACAGGCCTTCGTTAAGTAATATTTGAAATGAAGCCAATTCACTTTTTCGTTCTGAGCTAATGCATTCTGGGCTGGCTCTTCCAGAACCTGTCTGCACAGACTGTGATTAAACGACTGTGATCGCTTTTGATATGGGCTTTAATAAAAACTCTAGATGCTCAACCACACAGTCTTCTTCAGATAAAACACGACACCTTTCCACAGACCAGTGTTTGCACATGAGGAAAAATGATGAAAATGTTCTATATGCCCAGTGGACAACTCATTGTGGAGGACGGAAATAATATCAGTTCATAAGCTGGACTTGACCTGTGAACCCTCACGGAAAACACAATTCTTGTAAAGTCATGCTTAGATAATCATATTACATTGGCAGAGAAATTGCAGGTAAGCACTTCGGCCAAACAGCCATTATCTAGCTGCTGTACATGCCAGCAAGCACTCAGACAATTTAGTTTGGATTAATGTGGCTGGAATAAAAGAATACAAGTCACTGTTCAATACCTACTGTTCAATAATGCTGTCATCACATACAAACACCTTACTTTGCTATTTTAGTTCCTTTGTTAATTCAATCTTAGAGCTTTCACACACTCAATGGGTGAAAACAAATTATATTCCCTTTAACCAAAACTGTTTTGTTTTACTTTTCTCTATGTTCAGGAGTGAAAATAATCTTGTAAATTGTTTATTCTCCCACCATGATTCTGAGAAATAAATAAATA